CCAATACTGCAGAGAACATTTAGCTAACCCGATGTAGGGGTTACATTAGACATTTTCCTCATTTTCTTATAATTTATAAAATTAGTGTCCATTACTGGTACAGTGTCCATTACTGGGTCAGTTACCCTACATCATTTTGTATCGTGAGCAAGATTGAAAACTGTTTAAAACATCAGACAGAAGAGATTTTATTTTTATAAGAAACTTATCACAGGAACTATATGTATGGGTTCTGGGATATCCGAAGGCTATGTTAAATTTTATATTAAGGACTGTTCGGTAGGTTAGTAAGACTCTTAAGATATTTTCATAGAAGGGTTCAACTCGCAAAACATTTTGAACATTTTTTTTGTTTAAGTCTTCAGGTAAGTATAATTTTTTACTATCATTCACACTGTAGTGGCTTTTCCTGTCTTTAAATGACTTTATATGTTTGTATATTGCCGCAAGAACTTAATATTTCAATTTTCTAGGATGGTTTTTATTTTTTCTCCTTTTATTTTTAGGGACGACTCCACTCATTTTTAGTGAATTTTGTATTATCTCTAATTTTTCTCTTTATTTCATGAATAGACATAAAAGCTTGCCTACAAATATTTATTTCTTTTAAGCTATTATCAGTGCTAAAACATACCCTGTAAGAATATACAGCACTTCTCAAATTTGCTTGCTACTGTAATCAATCCACCTAAGTATGAGTTCTGCTCATTAATAGAAGTCATTGTGTTCAAATTCTTGAGTACAGTTTTTCTTGTTTTTTCAGGCAAATTTTGAAAACATTGTTTACGATAATTATTACAGGTTGCACCTACCTCGTGACTCTGCAGTCTAATTTTTTTCATGACATCTCTCCTTCTGTCGTGCTTTTTCCTCGTTTTTGATTCATTCAGTCTAGGCACTATTTCAGTCTTATTTCCACTACTATTATTTTCTATATTCATTGTTATTTACTTTAGATTACTTGGAAAACAATGAAAATACTTGCTTAACCGACAAACTTAACTCTAAGCTGGGCGTATTATATCAACGTATATCAGCTGTTTATATGGACTTTACCCTTTTAGGACCTGTCTGATGAGGACTTGTCCTCTATTGGTAGTACAGTGGAACCTCGATTATCCATCAGGGCACCGGACCAAGGGTATGACGGATAATCGAAAAGACGGTTAACAGAACATTAAAAAAAATCACAGTATGACTCTCAAATTTTATTTGTTTGTTTTATTTGACAATATAAGAGGGATTTATGTTAGTACAGTCGAAACAATTTGATTTAAATTATTCGAAATTTTTGTTTGTTTTATTGTTACTTTACATTTTGCAATGGCTGAATTTGTTAATCGACGTAAAATCATTAAATCTACCTTATTTGCTTCTTCTTGTCGTGAATATCACTTGATGAATTGTTGTATGTGCGATGCAGCTCCTCTAGCTTCTTTACACACATCTTTGTGAGTTGTAATAGCATCATCAACATCGCCATCATCAAAGTCGGCTTTTGAATCAGTTTCGTCCGCCTCTGTTGCCATTTCAACGATTTCATCGTCTGTCAGCAATCGATAGCCGTTTGCGCCCTCGTCACAAATTATCCATTCGTTTATGTCATATTTAGGCAACGAAAACAAAACAGTTGATTCAGCCATAACTTCATTTAAGCGGAGCATTTTCATCTTAAGTTGATTCCAGGACCATAATTTGTTCCAGGCTCTTTCCAGCGTTACTTTCAAAACATTAGCCCAAGCATTCACAGCATTGTCGACCTCGTGTTTTAAATTGTATGCTTTTTAGCATTCTGGCCAAGAATATTACTCTTCCATAACTAGGTTTTAAATCATTTTTTTCCTGTATCTTCTTTTGAATCTGTTAATGACCGAATGATCAATTGGTTGTATCAATGATGTATTAGCAGACAGACAACAGTACGTGATATTTTAATCGTCATTCCGCAGCATACCGGCTTTAGGATGGGCAGGTGCATTGTACAAAATGAGAATCGTCTTTAGTGGAAATTTGTATGCAAACAAAATGACATAAATAAATTTTTACTTATGTTGTCAATACAACCTATGTATGGACTCTGACGGTTAACAGAGGTGACGGTTAATAGAGAGACGGATAATCGAGGTTCCACTGTATTTGCGTAACTATAATTAGCATTTCAGGGGAACTAGACGCTTTTAGGACTTGTAACAAACCGCTGACCACTTCTATGTTACCAATGTCACCACTAGATCGATTTATGAAAAATTGTAACTTGCTCCCTTTTGAACCTTACCCTTCATATGCTACATATAGGTACATTATAACCAAAATAAGAAACAGAGGTGTTAGAGGATGAACTGTTATTTGAAATATAAGAAATATATTTTAGAATCTCTTAAAGTGCATAAGACCTACTATGATGTACGGAACTGAATATTCTACAGATAAAAGGAAGGAGGAACAATGAATGCATGTGGCAGAAATGAAAATACTTAGATGGATGAGTAAAGTGACAAAAAAGCCAAAAGAGAATATTGAAACGTGATTTGTCTTATTTTGTAGTAATTGACAGAATTGTAGTCTGCGTGGCAAGTCATAATCCAGTCGTCAGAGGCGAAAATGCCACTCAACCTCTAAAAATCATACAAAAAAGCTGAATTTTGCCGATAATATTAATTTTGGAACCCCAAAAAGATTCAAAAAAAAAGTTTACCACCTTTACCTTCGGCGTAGAAAAAAATATTTAAAATAAAAAATGTAGCTGAGATAATTTTAAACAAAAATTTTTATTAGCACTTTTTATGTAAATGAACCGTAACGAACAAAAAAACGCTTGAAGAGTTCAGCTTTTGTATGCAATTTTTATCTTTTGTATTTGTAATTTATTTTTGAATATTTCCTGACAGGCATGTGATAACAACACAAAATTTGTAAGTGGTGGTTTTTTGGGACGAGAAACTTAAATTCCCCACCAAAAATTATGTACTACCTAGAGAGCGCCACATTCGTCTTTCAGCGCTTATTTAATACGTTCAATTTTTTATCCTCTATTCTACATAATTTTGAGATTAAACCTTATATTTCCCTTTTATTTTTACTTTAAAAAGGTATACTACATTCATCTCCCTAAACTCGACCATTTACGAGATAAACGAATCGACGATGCAAAATTAAATTTTTTGCATTTCGTTGTAGTTCACCCGAAAATAACCTTGTAACGATAATCATTGTACAAGTTGTCGTAGTCATTGCAAATGTCATTTTAACAGTTAGATGCGTTTTTAATACCATCCTTCGCATTCCAAGTCATGCGTGTTACATGAAATTTAAGTTGTAAAATGCCACGTCACAACTTGATTTCAAATAGTGAAATGACCGATACCATCATGCCGTTTATGCCCAACAAAATTTTAATGAACGTGCTGCTGCTAGATATTATGCTGACACATATCCCAATCGACGGCAACTCGATAGAAAATTATTTTTCAGATTATTTCAAAGGTTAAGAGAATCGGGTAGTTTTCGAACCCAGAATGGAAATGTTCGACCAAGAGTACGAACTGTTCAACAAGAAGAAGACGTTTTGAACAATGTGGAAGAAAATTCAGGAATTGGAGTCCATCGATTAGCTGGCATGTTGAGCTGATATCATTTACTACGTTAAGTATTTTACACGAACAACAACTCCATCCATTCAACTATACCCCAGTTCAGAATCTCCCACCACGTGATTTTTTGCCCAGGATAAATATTTGCGAAACTATTTTAAATAACCATGGACAGGATCCAGATTTTATTTCAAAAATTATAAAATTATTGTCGAAGCAATATTCAGTTTTTAAATCTCTGGCGGTCATTGCGTCTTCGACATCTTCTCTCCATGACCGTCTTGGTCTACCTGGTATTCTTCTAGTGGGCAGAGTCCATTTTTCTATCTTTTTTTGCCATCTATTTTCAGGCATTCCCTGTAGGTGTCCAAATCAGTTTAGTCTTTTGGCTTCGATAATATCATTTATGTCTAGCTCAATTTCCATTTCTCTCCTAATGAATACGTTCCTCACCCTATCAATTCTAGTATGCCGGCAACGTTGTCTCGAATAGTCCATTTCCATTGCCTCAATTTTTTGATTTGTTTAGAAGGGGCATAATAAATTGAAAAAATTGCCATATTTGGGCCGATGAAAATCCAAATGCAACGTTGTCTCGGTACTTTTCTCGCCTATTTCGCGCCACGTATCATCTTTTAAGTTTTTTTCGAAATTGATCACGGTTTTTCGAATCCCAAAGTATCCTCTTGTTATGCTATAGTCAATAAGTTCAATATATTTATTCTTGGACCACTGTGTCATTATGGAAAACTTGGGTTCACGCCGAAAAATATACACTAAAATCAAACTGGGAACAAGTCACACAATCTCGATACGACGGTACAAACATACAATATTGCTACGAACACTATCCAAATTGAACTGCGACTATCCTTTGTGTTCGTCTCAAAAACAGACAGGCCGTGGCCCATAGAGAATTTCTCTATGCCGTGGCCGTCTTGACGAGCGACGAACGAACAGCTCGCAAGCGGTTCGTCCTGCTGTACCAAATTTACAAATATAGCGATCGCAAACGGTTCACGAACGTTCGGCTCGCATATGTGTACCCACCTTTACCAACTCTAACTATATGACAGACCTATTCAAACACTCGATTACTACTCTCTAATTAAACTGTAAACTTTCTGTTTATATACATTTTCTGGCGTTCCAGACCTTAAGAGACATTTTGGAATATTTTGATGACATCTAGAACAATTTGAATTTTTAATACTTCTTCTTTTTCGTCAAGAGACTTTTTCTAATTGGAATAAGTCTTACGGAACTGTCGTAACAATATGGAACACTCTGTATGCACAATTTTTATGCTGACTACTTTGGAAAGTTTTTATACTTACCACTACCTGTAAGTATAAAATTTTCTGAAACCACAACTTCCCTTTCCGTATACCTATTGGTTATAGATATACCAACACAGATTTTTTAAATCAACGCCAACTTTGAACGACATACTAAGAGTTTGTTAACTATTTATTATTTTTCAGTGCATGAACATTCGATCTAACATAAGAACAGAAATGAAGGTAAGTTAAGTTTTATAATACGTATGATACCATTTCATAAAGATATCTTTATTTTTTCACATCAGTATATATATATATATACATATATAGGGTTGTTTCAAAAAAAGGTAACCCCGTCTCTAGGGTAGGTAAAAAAACTGAAAAATAATTGGGATTTGCTTAGTAAAAAAATTTTGTAACGCTATTTTTTTACGATTTTGCCGAAACTACTGGAAACATTGTAATGAAATTTTATACGAATATGTTTTGGAAGCTGATACATCCCATGAATTTGTTTTTATATCTGATTCTCATAGAGGGCGCTAGTTACACGGATCGTACTAGGTATTAGTCAATATAACTTTTTTAAGAGTATAATTATTAATCAAAATTTCAAGTAAACTTAAACATTATTCAATTTGGTAAAACTCAATACTGTGGGCCGTTTTCGGAATATTTTGATTTGAAAATTATGAAGTAATAATTGATGCTAGTGTAAAATAGTAATTAAACAAAACTCACGAGAAGAAAATTAAATTAATGACTAAGAACATAAAATAAAATTCAAGTGTTCAAAATGCCCTCCGTTTTCGCGAATACGCAAGTCTATTCTTTTTACTAAAGATTCCATTAACCTTCTAAACGGTAGGGGATCAGCTATGATGTCATTAAATTGACGTAGAATTTTTTCTTCCAATTCTTGGCGTAAATTTATCTCTGTAGCATAGAATTTTTCCTTAATATACGACCAAACTGCGTAGTCCAAAGAGTTAAAATAGCATGACCGAGGAGGCCAATGAATTGGAGCTTCTGCACCTCTAAAAATCCATCGATTCGGAAAATGATTACTCAACCAATTACGACACCTTCCATCAAAGTGTGGTGGAGCTCCATCGTGCATAAAAAATAAAGATCTTCGCTCGTTTAGCGTTAAATCTTCTAATATCTCGAATAAGGAATTGTTTAAAAAATCAAGATACATATCATCATTTAATTTTCCAGGTAGAATATGATAACCTATTAATTTGTTACCTAAAGTTGCTGCCCAAACATTAACTTTAAATGAGTGTTGGTAATGTGATACCTTTTGACTCGTGGATTCTCATCACACCAGTAGTGTGCATTATGGGAGTTAAACATGTCTTGTCGCGTAAAGGTGGCCTCGTCCGTAAAAAGAATGCATTTTAAAAAATTTGGATTCTGGGCTGTCCTTTGTTGCAATGTTTCACAAAAATCCACTCTAACCGGTAGATCATCTGGCAAGAGCTCTTGGACTTGTCTGTAATGATAAGGATGTAATTGCTGTTCTTTCAGTATCCGCCAAGTACTTGAAGAAGAAGTATTTGTTTGTCTTGCTATATTCTTTACGCTAACTGTTGGATCTTGATCAAGTAAATTTAAAATATTATTTTCTTTATTAATTGTTCTTGTTGTTCTTGGTCTACCAGAATTTATTTTATTTGGTCTCACATTCCCAGTTTCTCGACAACGTCGTTCAACGGCTCTAAATGTTTTTTTACTTGGTAAGTTTCATCTAGGAAACTTTTCTGCATATCGTGTCACAGCTGCACTAGAACATACTAAACATTTGCCTAGGTTAATAACATGTCAAGTGTATTCAATATTTGAGTACATTGTGATTTGATTTTACAAATAACAAGGTCTCAAAACTCTAATTATTGTTGATTTATCGTCATATCAATCAATAAATGTCAGATTTCCATGGCACACTTGGAGAAAAATAGAGGTATACCTATTAGAACTTTATCATTACTACGAGCATCAATTATTACTTCAGAATTTTCAAATCAAGAATATTCCGAAAACGGTACACAGTATCGAGTTTTACCAAGAGTACCTTTTTCGTGTAAAATTGAATGATGTTTAAGTTTACTTGAAATTTTGATTAATAATTATACTCTTAAAAAAGTTATATTGACTAATACTTAGAACGATCCGTGTAACTAGCGCCCTCTATGGAATCAGATATAAAAACAAATTCATGGGATGTATCAGCTTCCAAAACATATTCGTATAAAATTTCATTACAATGTTGCAAGTAGTTTCGGCAAAATCGTAAAAAATGCGTAAATTTTTTTTTTCAACGCCCTGTATCTTGAAAACGGATGGCGTTACAAAAATTTTTTACTAAGCAAACCCCAATTATTTTTCAGTTTTTTACCTACCCTAGAGACGGGGTTGCCGAGGGTAGGTAAAGCCAAAATTCATAAAAGCGTTAACATTTTCAACAATTATAATCAATATATACAATTCACAGTTGAGGAAGAGGTGGAAGATTTTCTACCACTCCTTGCCATGAGAATTGCAAGAACTACAAATGTGTTGAAAACCAGATGGTTAAGAAAACCCAGCAATAGATTTATAAGCTATCATCATCCATCCACACAAGGTGAAAAATCAACGTTATAACAAGATTAAAAGAACGTGTTTAAGGCTTTCTCATCCAGATTACGTAGAGGAAGATCTTTTAATTGTTGAAAACTATTTTAGTTCAGAACTCTTATCCTCCAGATATGATATATAAGATATTTTTTTTCTTAATGCTGATACTAATAATATTAATAACTTTGCACTATATATACACTATACACTATACACCATTTTTTGCGAAATCTCAAAACAATATATCTATAATAACCTCGTAATTAAAATATCGATATATATTATAATTAAATACAAAAAAAAATTATATAGGTATACAAGATTTAATTTGTGATTGAACAAAACTAATCCTTTTTCAAAAGGATTTCAAATTCAGATTTCAGTGAAGGAAGCTTCATAATAAACTTATCGTGAAATTTACTGTTAGGTCTCTATAATTATTCTTTTACATTTTTTATTTTTTTTTATTTCAGTATAATGAATTGTTTCGCATCGTTCAATTATTTCTGCTTATTGATGTAACTCTATCAAGTACAGTTTTTATATCCGATTATGGAATGTCAAAAATGATAGAACTCAGCACCAAAATGCCATACTGTGTTGTTCAAATTGACAGGTAAGCTATATTTCTTTTTTCTAAATAAACTCATCGTTCATTTCCTTATTCTTCTTCATCTTGAATTAAGCTTAATCGGCTTAATATATCGGAAAACTAGAAGGCAAACGTGCACCAGGATGGAGAAGGATTTCCTGGGTGAAAAATTTACGTATGTAGTTCAATGCAACAAGCACAAATCTTTTCAGAGCAGTAGTGTGTAAAATGCATGATGGTTGCCAACATCCGAAACTGATAGGCACTACAAGAAGAAGAAGAAGGCTTAATACTTATTACTTTCTCTTATTTTTAATATTCACATGATCCCAAATATATTTCTCTATATATTATTTATTCTATAAATTGGTATGCAATTTAACTTTGGCTACTAGTTTTAATAAAAGCATCAAATTAGTAACAATTGGAATTCATTTATTTCATTATCTTTGCCTTTATTCCTATGAGGGGCAGGCTTTCTTAATTTCTCCATAGGTTAGGGTCATATCATTATTAATCTCCTTTACCGACATTTCCTGCGTAAGCGACTGCCCCGAGGTATTCTTTGATCTTCCTCTCCTACTCCTTCCTTCATCTTTCAGATCAGCAATTCTTGCAATCTCTCATTTTGGCATCAATTAGTATCTATCCTAGACTTACTCTGATATACTACTTCTTAATTTTATCCTTTTTTGTCAATTCACTCATCCATGTAGGCATTCTCATTTTCACCACATGCATTCGTTGTTCCTCTTTCTTTTTAACTGCCCAACATTTTGTTCCATACATCATAGCTGGTCTCATGGCAATTTTGAAAGAATTTTCCGTTCAGCTTCATTAAAATTTTTTTGTCACACATCATAGCACTCGGTTCCTTACATTGCATCCATCTCCATATATTTTCGCATTACTCTGTAATACCGATTTTAGGTACGTAAAACTATTCCTTTTCGCGATTATTTCCATCTTTAAATGAATATTCCAAGTACTCTGTTTTTGTCCTACTATCCCTAAGTTTTAAACCTTTCTCCTCAAAAGCTTGTCTCCACTATTCTAGTTTTTGTTCTAAGTTTCTTTCACTATTTCCTACTAACACTACATCATCAGCATGCATTAAGCACTAGGGAATGTTACCCTGTAGATTCGTTGTTATCTGATCCAAAACTAGTGAGAATAAATAAGAACTAAGCACCGAACCCTTGGAACAATCCTACTTTTAAATGAAATTGATCAGTCTGTCCCACACCTCTCCTAACACTACTAGACCAGGGAAATGAAGTTTTTTCATGACACTCATGAGGTCAGGCAAACGACAGTTCTTTTGAGTAGTATGGGTGTCTGTAACAACAATTTGTATGTTTCTTGAAGTAGATTTTTTAACTTAATTAGTTATTAACAAATTAAGGTCAAAAAACGGTAAATTTTCACTTTTCTCATCTACCAGTAAAAAATGAACCATTTGAAACAAATTTAAGAGTAATAAACGCATAATGCATGTAAAAAGTTGTAAAATAAGTCAGAAATTTTTATAAATGTTAATACCTTTTTTAAAAATGTAAATTACTGTAACTTCATAATGATGAAGAATGAAGAACAATGATTTTAAATATTGCACAATTATTTTGCAAAAACATATCGATTTTGTGCTTATAAACAATTACAATAACATTTAAACCGCCATCTGCAGAAAAAATTATTTTTCTATATTTGGAGAGCTTGCATTTTCTATAAATTAAAAAAGAAAAAAAAGTCCTAGGACAATTTGGGACGAAGTTAGTCCCTTTACTTTAAATTAACACCAGCTTTGTTTATAACAATTAAAATGTACCAAATTTAAAAAGATTGTTTTCAACGGAATCATCCTCAAGGCTTCAAATGTTGATCTTCCTGATGGAGGGGGAAGAAGCAGTTAACTGTATCTCTGGTTATTTTATTCTCTGAATATGTATTGTTTAAATAAATAAATGGTTTAAATATATATTATTTAAATATAAAAATTGTTAAATAAACATCTTTTGGTTAATATTGTGTTTTTTATCGTAAAGGCTTACTTTAAACGTAAATATAAATAAACAAATAAAAATGCCGAATAAAAAACAGACTTAACGTTTTTCGAGTCATTTTAAATCATTTGGGCATTGACTTAAAAAAATAATGAGATGAAAGCTTAAGTCTATTGGTTTTAAAATGCGCAAGGCCATTTTAATTTTATATGGCATAAGTTAGTTTAAATTATCCATAAACTATCCATTTGAAGAACGTCTAAAGTTAAACGTTTGAAACATATTGTTTATTTCTTACCCACAAGCTGAATTTTATTTTAATCGACAAAATATGATTGTACACCATTACAGTAAAAAGTTAACCAAAGTGTACCATGGGAACATACTAATGATAACAATTTTACGACAAATAAAAAATTTATTTATTCTTTCGTTTATAATAAGCAGGTTCCAGTTATAAATTTGGATAAACTTATTACTGCAGCATCATATTATTTATTAAAACAAGATTCAGCTTGTGGCTAAGAAATAAACAATCTGCTTCGCCATTCCTATGGCATTTGTCCAACTTCCATAATTTATTAAATATTACTCTCCACACTTTCCCAGGAATATCATATGATCCAACTGCTTTACCTTTCTTTATTTTTTGGAGTGCTTGAACCACTTCCTCGTTTGTTACTTTAGTGACCATTGCTGTTACTGTCTCCGTTAACTTAACTGGTTTTTTGTCAAATTCTTTATTTAATAAACTGTCAAAGTACTTTTTACAAAATTGTCCACACTTCCCGAGTCATATCAGCTGGTGAAACGTGGACAGTTAAGATACTGCTCCATTGGTCTCGGCAATTATATTGATATTTTTCATACATTCCTTAACAATAAATGAAATTTTACTTACGATTGTAGGGGGAAAATACGAGATAAATTGCTAAGTTCTGATCCCAGAAGAGTAAGGAAAATGAGCGATGACGCTGTAGAGAACCTAGCAAAAGTCTGTAAGGAAGATATAGAGTCACCATTTCAAGGTGGCTTTATTTATCCAGGAACCAAATGGTGTGGACCAGGTAAATTTTTTAATATCTATGGTATTTTAATTATTGAACTCTTTGAAACTAACTTTTAATACAGGTCACAAAATATATTATTTAACAAATGTTTCAAACAAGAACTAATGTTTTTTGGTAAAAAAAAATTTAAGTTCTTGTAAAAATGACAGACACAGTTTAATACCAAAAATAAATGCGTTGTTGCGATTTCACAAACAGTGTATGTGCCATTCTTACACTAAAATTTTTGCAACGAACTATCTAGCGGATATTATTCGACTTCGTAAATGGGATTTTCGTAAATTTTGATATTTATTATGAAAAAAAAATCATCAAAATTAAAAATACTTTGCGTAGTTTAGCAGCAAAAGAATTTCAAAACAATCAATTTTGTGGAAAAATGGAAATCTCCCGTGAAAATTTTGTGCCATGATTTTTAAGTTGGCCTAAACTAAACAACAGTACGTCCAATGATCTAGGTCTTTCGATTCAGTATTTTATTTCCTGAGAACATCAATTTCCTCTTATACCATCAAAATATTTAATTAAAGACAAAAAACAGCAGTTAAATGATCCATCCTGTATATAGTATAATACTGCAACTATACGATAAACGTTTTAAGACTGAAATTAGGCGGACGAAGCAAACAAAAATCTGATTTCTAAGATATGTATTTTGGATTGGCATAAATGCTTCGATTCTTGGTTTATTCTTGAAGCACGTTTAAAATTTCCTCAATTATTCCTCTCAGAAAATTACTTCCACGCCGCCTATGTCCACGCTTTGCTAGATCCATTAGAAATAACCCTTAAATGAAATTTCTTCCTCTTAACAAAGAAGTCCGTTCCTATTGTTGAACAACTAAGCTTATTTTCTAAGAACAGCTGAGATGCGGCCCTTCTATAAAATAATATTTTCAGTCAGGAGAAAGTAGAAAAGCATAGAAAATAAGACCACACCGAACTTGTCAATTAAGTACCATTTTCGCTTGGCACTCTCCGGCAAATACCCCCACTCTTTTTTATTATCCCTAGCTGGTCTAAATATCAAAAATCGAATTCATTTTCGTTGTGGTTCCTGTTGCATGCGGTTGTGTTCATCAAATAGCAGTGAGTGTAATTTCAATGCACTATTATCCATTTATCTTCATACAGTGCTTCCTATAGTAAATTTTCTCTCTTGTCGTGCAGACGTCCTCCAATTCAATGACACTGAGTCAATTCTGTTTGCCGTTTCCTCCATCCTTTCAGTTCAGTCTATTCTATTCCAGCCTAGTCTATTGTGAGGATTGATTTGATGTATTACCTGTACTTACATTGATTTGATGATTTGTGTGCTGATTGAATCCACGGTAATTCGGTTCCTTACTTACCTCATCTACGCTGTCGTCGATGACTTTTATATGAAAGAAAGTTATTACCTGTGACTACTTGATACCGACCTTGCCTTTCTCGTTATCTTATTTTATATGTCGTAGGTTTACCTTTTTTTAAATAGGGTGGTACCCAATTAACTTCCCTTCTCTTTATCTTCTAACTTCTCTTCTGTTTGTCTTCACTCCTCCACTAACTAATTCTTTGTATTTGATCTACAAAGAACCTCGACCAAGATGCCTCTACCAGACTGAAGCCCGAGCCTAGTACCGTTTCCTAGGTAACCTCCACTCTGTCCATAAAGGGGGTACATTGTATACATGTACACTTGTATCTACACCAACAGATATAATAGCATAAGAGGTTAATGTTAAGACTTTTTACATACGAGAGCATTAATTAATAGAGTTTAGTCAATCTAATATAATTGTTTACCAACGTAAATGTAACATTTAATATTGATTTTCAGGAACTATTGCTAACGATTATTCCGACATAGGCTTCCTTTACAAAGAAGATATATGTTGTAGAGAGCATGATCTATGTACTAAATCGTTAGCACCAGGTGAATGTAAACAAGGAATTTGTAACAATTCTCCTTTTACGAGGTAATACATTTAACAAAATAAATGTACTAACTATAATAACATAAATAATTAATAACATGAAAATATGTTTTGGTAAAATGTTTTACGCTTCTAAATTAAAAAGATCCATCTCAATATGTAGTATAATGCTTAAATATATATATATATATATATAATATATATATATATATGTATATATATATATATATATATATATATTTATATATATATATACACTCATGGGCAAAATTTGGGAATTTTTCAATTTTTTTGTAGTCACTATTATTTCACAATGATTTTTAGATTACTGATTTTACTCATATAGTAAGCTGATATACTCAATTGGTTTAAAATATTTTGACTTTTTTTTTTGTGTTTATTCAGCTCTTAGTGTCATTAGTGCATTTTATCATAAAAAAACTTCTCCACGTAAAGGAAAAAAAAGTTAAAAAATGTTGGTTACATTGGATATGACAGATTCATGTTAATGCACGATAATGCTCGACCACATGCTGCAGCCATAGTAAGTAATTATCTTGATAAGATCCAAATTTATAGATTGGATTGGCCACCATTTAGTCCGGATTTAAATCCAATAGCGCACATGTGGGATCAGCTAAAACGCCGCATACGACAAAGAAATCCCGTTCCAAATACGATAGAGCAGCTTCGGCTTGCTGCACAGGATAAATGGAATGCTATTTCCCAAGAGTATGTCGAAAATTTACTTGCAAGCAAGCCAAGAAGGATGCAAGCAGTAATAAAAGCTAGAGGTGGGAATACTCGTTACTGAGCATGCACTTGTTTCAATTATAAAAAGACTTTTTTGGGAAATTTAAGTTAGCATTTAAGTTTAGAGTAAAAAAAACTTATTTACCTAGCATTAAGTTTTTTTTTTCGCAATTTTCTCCGCATAAAAATTTAAAATTGTTAATTAAACATTGTTAAACTAAACTCTTTTCCACAATAAACGACTTGATTGACCATAATTTATTTAAAAAAAAAAAAAATTAAAAAATTCCAAAATCTAAAACATATTCTATATCACAAGAAGGAGTTTGCAATTTAAACTTTTTTGGTTGAGGAGGGTATGGCCTGGGGGGTTAATGGGGGTGAGCTCTCTTTCATGCATTTTAGTTCTTCCTTACTATCCTAGAAACAGTTTCAAGTATTTTTTGATATCAGCTTTTGTTCGTGAGATATAGCCCATTACAAGTTTTAAATTGACAGACTGTATATAAATTTTCTTAATTATTCGTTATTATTTTAAGGTCCCACTGCGACTGTGACGCAAGTTTCAGAAAATGTCTTCAAACTGCGAATACCGAAAGCGCCAACACAATTGGTGCCATATTTTTCAACGTCGTTCAAGTGATTTGCTTTAAAGAAAGAACACCTTGCTCGCAATGGCAAAGGTAATATAAAATATGTTAATGATATTATAGCAGGATTGGTGAATACTACGAAATTTGGTTTTTATCTCCATTTAATTTATCTTTTATAGGAATAATGTTTCCTCCTTTTTTATGTTTTTTATACCCCCTCTTTACGGTTAAATAGAATTTAACGATGAAGTCACCATAGTTGAGAACAAACATGATCCAACATATATTATATAATATAAAAAATATATCACATAAATTTAATATGAGCATCTTAATAAGATCAAAACAAATAAAATACCGATCGAAAACAACACAATACTGTATGAGAAGATTATTTATTTACATAGTAATGACAGCATTAACTTATTTATTTAGCGCATGGCTCAATACATGGAGTAAATACAAAAATAATTGTAAAAAAAACGTAAGTACATAATTCAAAAATACAAACATAAGATTATAAAAACGAACATAGACAAAATACAGATAAAATTTAAGATAATACAAACAGATAAGGTTATATCTTTAAGTCAAGTTGAGCTATCCATTCAAGACTTGCAGGCGTAGTTTTGAAAAAGTCTTTTGGGTCCCCTCGATATGCCCTCAATTCACATGTCTCCATTTTGTGTTGCATGGTTTGATCTGGAGCTCCACAGTCGCAGCTGGAGGTATGCTGTTTTCCCCATTTATGTAGGTTGTGTGCGCATACTGCATGTCCCGTTCTAATTCGGTTTTAGGCTGTTCCATATGTTTCGTGGCTGGTCGAAGCCATCAGGCTTTTGGACTGGGTCAATAAGGTTGGATACTTCAGGTGGGGCTTCCTCAGTCCACAGCGTGCGCCATCTGGAGGTAACATTAAAATCATCTGCTGTTAGCTGTTGGGCTGTTCTTATGGGTGGTTTTCTGGATGGGAGTCGGTTTGCTGCTAAACTCGGGATGTCTTCATGGATTGGTAGTTGCAGGTTGCTACTTACTTTCAAATACTCCGTTATCAAGGCCTTTTGTCTTCGTAGAATAGGCGGAGGAATATGGCTAAGGATCGAAGCCAATATAGTGGAGTAGTCTTGATGCAGCCGCTAATCATTCTCATTGCTATATTAAGCTGCGTATCAACTATTTTCACATCACGACTATTTAGCCAGACCGATGCACAGTACTCTGCCACAGAATAAACCAAACTTAGCACAGATATTCGTAGTGTGTCCGCAGATGCGCCCCAGTTGGTACCACAAAGATTCTGGATAAGGTTATTTCTACTACTTATTGTTTGTGCAGTTATTTGTAGATGTTTTTTTAAAAAGAGAGAGTCCTGTCCAACGTAACCCCCAGATATTTTAGGTAGGGTTGGTAGAGTAGTGCTACATTTCTCATTTTGACCTCTAGTTTTTGGTTTGACTGTTTGTTATTGAGGTGAAAACAGCTTACCTCAGGTCGTTTGTCAGCACGTTTTGAGTAATTTGAAACTGTGTTATTATTACTATTGCTAGGTCGTCAGCGTAGTCAAACTTCCTTCCATCCGTGTCAGGTAGGTCCGATATATAAGTTGAAAAGCATCGAAGCAAGGACTGATCCTTGGGGTAGTCCACTATTTAATTTCCTCTGTTTGCTTATGTCATTACCGTGGATTATCTGGAATTATCGATCAGAGAGCATGTTGTTTATTAGTTACAATATTCTTTGGCATGAGATTAGTTTGGTTAGTTTATAGAGGAGTCCCTCCTTCCATACTGTGTCGTAGGTAGCAGTCAAATCCACAGGCCTGACTACAGCCGCCTTTTGTTGCTTTTGGAAGCCTGCTTCTATATGCGTAGTTAGACTTAGGACCTGATCTGCGCATCTTCGATTAGGTATGAAACCTGCTTGTTCGAGTGGGATATTTTCAAGAATTTGTGGGCCTATTCTGTTAAGGCCCACATACAGAATTTTTTTATACAGCATCAACTAAAACAAACCTAATCGAAAAGATACGAACACAAGAATAAAATGAAAATTACAAAGAGCAAGATCTGCATCTTTCTACGCAGCATTTTCCTTTTCAGAGATTGCTGTCCTTTACACTTGTTCGTCAATCATTACTGTTGATCGTATCTTCTTTATTTAAGCCTTTTTCTGACAAGTCCTCTGTCATACAGTCCTTATATATTCTTCTCGGTTTTCCTCTACCTCTTTTTACATCAACTTCTAACAGTTCTAACCTTATCTAATCCTATTTCTCTCAACCGCATATAGTTCACTTTCGACCTACTAACCTGAAGTGTTTTCTCTTCAATAATCCTTCTCCAACCTTCCACCTTCTCCTTTAACATTGCTTTGGTATGCTCCACTAACACGATAGGTATCATCCTTAAAACTATTGACCACGGAGCCTCCTTCCGTACCTTCTTTGTCGGTACATCCATAACAAGATTAACCAGAGAATTGCAGAGAATTGGTGCAGAGCAACCGGCACTGGAAAAACTTTCGGTCAATCTGACACAAAGTCCTTACTTTTGGTCTATATTCCCTCATACATATCCTTCACGGATCTTACGTACTTCTCAGGAACACATTTCTCTACCATACGGCTCAATAACCCTTGTTTAGAAACTGTGTCGTACGCCATTTCAATATATTTAAATAACAAATGTAGACCTCTTTTCTTCTCGCTGCATTTCTCCGTAAATTGTCTTAAAGCAAGCTAGGCATACGTTGTCCTCCTTCCTGGAATAAATCTAAATTGTTCTTCTCCTATCGATAGCTCCTTTCTTAACATTCGCTCTACAGTTCTTCCCAAATTTTCCTTGTGTGCGACATTAACTTTATCCCTCCGTAGTTTTTATTGTCCTAAATGTCCCCTTTATCTTTAAACAGTGATAATATCACGCACTCCCTCCATAAATTGGTCATCCTTTTTTTCTCAGTTATCATACTCAACATTTGTCACAACATATCAACCCCTTACTTTCCTAAAAGGCTTCAAGACCTCGACAGATATTCCACCAGGTTCTACTGGTTTACTATTCCGCATCCTCTTTAAAGTCTCGACAACCTCATCTCTCGATATTTCCTAGTATTACATTCTAATTTGGGGTTCCGCATCTTTTATCTGTCTATCGGTGTTCATTATTTAGCAACTTTCTAAAGTACTCATAGCATCTTTGCTTTATTTTAACATCGGATCTTAATTTGATGGACGCACTCTTAATCTGATGGACGTGAGTTAAGTGCTTTGATGACTTGCCCTTGCTTTATATAACCTATAAAAGCTATATAACATTTTCGTTCCCTCACGTATTTCCAACTCTTCTTACAGCTTTGCAAACGATATTTCCTTAGCAGTCTCTTTGCTACCTTGCATATATCCTTATCTTCTTCTCTTTTACACCTCTCATACCTCTTTCTAGTCTCAGTCTTCTCTCTAACCGTCAGTTGCACTTCATCGTTCCACTACCAAGTTTCTCTGTCCCTAGGAGGCCCTTGGCCAGATATTATTTCTAGATATTTCTCTTCCACTCATACCACAACTTTGTACAAAGAGCAAGCTCAATATTTATACAACTTGCGTGAAATGCATACTCATGCAACAAAAATAGTAATGATTAGTGTCGAGGAATAAAATCTGAAATGAAGATATTAAGAACTAATCAAGTATAATTCTTATATTGAATGGAAAACTAGAGTATAAGGAGTATACCATCCACTATAATTTAATCTGTATAGTGAAGCTATCTGTGAACAAGCACTCGAGGAAGAAGATCTTGGTCTGATAATAAATGGTGAGACGATCAACAATATAAGGTATGCTGACGATACAGTTCTCCTATCGGGAACGCTAGTAGAACTACAACATCTCGTTCAAAGTCTCAATATATACTGTAACAGTTACGGCTTGAAAATTAATTTGAAAAAAACTAAATTTATGGTAATCACGAAATCAAAGAACATCAGAGCTAATCTTGTAATAGACAATACAACGATTAAGCGTGTGCCCTGTTATAAATATCTAGGTGCTTGGATCACAGACGATACTGATCAAACAAAAGAGATTAGATGTAGAATAGAAATCGCTAGATCAGTCATTAATAGAATGCGCAAACGCTTTTGCAATCGTGATATCAATATAAAGTTACGAATACGAATGCTGCGTTGTTATGTCTTTTCTACCCTGTTATATGGAGTTGAGGCTTGGACACTAAAAACAGTTGACCATAAAAAACATCGAAGCTTTCGAGATGTGGTGCTATAGGCGCATTCTCAGAATATCATGGATGGACCGCGTCATTAATACGCAAGTACTCCAAACTTTAGACAAAAGATGCGAAATTCTAAATGAGATAAAAACTAGAAAGATGGAATACTTGGGGCACATTGTGAGAGGTGAAAAGTACGAACTTTTAAGAAACATCATGCAGGGCAAAATTAAGGGCAAAAGAAGTGTGGGAAGAAGAAAAATATCGTGGCTTCGTAATCTACGTGAATGGTTCGGGTGTAGTTCGATTGAACTTTTCAGGCGCGCTGCTAACAAAGTCGCAGTGGCCATGATGATTTCCAATTTTCGCTAGGAGTGGCACGAGAAGAAGAAGATCCACTATAAAATGAAGAAGAAGAAAACTGAAAGTTTTGACTTAATATTACTATGCTAAAAATAGTAAAAGATTTTATATTTACAAGAAAAGTAAAGCAACCAATAAACGTAATAACAAAAGAAGAAAAATGTTTTTTTATTGTATAACTTTTTTTATTGTGTTATTTTTTTTCTAAAATTTTCTTCTTTCTTTATATTATATCAATATATCGTGTAATGGGTATTATTCCCTATTTCTTAACTTTAAACGTAGCTTAGGTTTTTGAGTGGTGTACCAGAAAAAAACGCTATTAATGGCAGTAACTTTGAATGTAGTTCATAAGTATCTTTCAACTTAATTCATCGCATTTCTAAACAAAGACCAATAATTATGACAAGGTCTCGTTGGTTTATAGTATATTCTGAATTTAAGTTATGCCGCCCCGATCTTTACAAATTGTTTTTATAAATTTAATCCAGTCTACTAGTACATTTTTTGAAGAGACTAAATCTCAGTTTTTTCTCCGTGGTACACATCCAATCTATGATTAAATTAACCCAGGCGCAAGAACTTAAGTATAGTTTAGATATATTTTTGTATGTATTCAAAATTTTTATTTTATTTTATTTTTTTTATTATTTTTGTTTTAATTTTTAGTTATAATGACAATACAATTACAATAGAGGATCCCGAGCAATGTCCAGCCTATTTCACAAATTCTGAAAAGTTTGTTGCAAGTAAAGTCGATGATCTTAGTTATGAGTGGGAGGAAAGGGCTCACAGATTCAACGGCTATTTAAGAAAATGGCATATCTTATCTTATGCCCGCTAAAAAATAATATCTATTATTAAAGAATAATAAAATATTTTTATCGGTTTTTATTTTTTTTTTTCTGATTATCTGTAAATAAAGCTACTTGTTCATAGCGTAGGTAAAGAAGCATTGGGTTAATTTGACAATGGAAAAATTTTAAACCCGAAATCGTTTTATGTTGATCTCAATACGTGAGTAAAAGATAAAAAAACAGAGTTTTAAATTTGGTTCGGACCGCAAGACGATAAAGATCGAAGGCTATTTGCTATATAACTAAAAATGAGTTCTGGGAGAAAAAATGTGAACAGCTAGACACACAGACGAACTATACCAAAATGGCAGAGACCTGAAAATTTATCAAGAATTTAAGAACACAACAGACATAAGCAAGAAATGCTAATAATTAATCTTCACGATTGAAGAGCGGATTACGAGAGTTTACTGAGGAAGATAGAGAAAAATTCGCATCTAAAGAACATCAGTTTGCTACAGGAAATACAACAGTAGAGGAAATTACAATAGATGAAATCCAAAAAGCCTTATATCGTACAAAAAATGAAAAAACATCAGGTCCGGAAAATATTCCTATTGAACTTTTAAAGTATTGAAGAATTAAGTGGTTTCCGAGATGGAAGATACTGCCTTGATAATATATTCTCAGTTAAAAAGAAACTAGAAATATAGTAGAAGACTTGGTGCAAATTGAAGCGCAGAGGGGTTTCTGTGAGAAATGATCCTGACTGTGATAATATATTCTCAATTAGGCAAACAGTTAAAAAGAGGCAGAAAGGAACCTAAAACCCATATTATTTTTGTTGACCTAAATAGCTAATGACCCAGAGCCAGAATAGAAAAATATTTAGAATAAATTGAAGAACAGTAATGAAAGAAGAAGTAGAATACGCGATAAGAAACGCTAAAAAATGAAAAGTAAATGGACCTGATGAAATTCCTACAGAACTGTTGAAGCTTTTGAATGATAAATCAGTAACCATAATATTACATCTATTCAATACAATATACAGTACTGGTATAATACCTCAAGAATGGTTGCTGTCTACGTTTGTCATCATACCAAAGAAAACTAAGGCAATGCAATGTTCAGATCATCGAACAATCTCCTTGATGAGTCATCTGCTTAAAATATTTCTAGAGTCATCCACAACCGAATCTATCAAAAATTAGATATCGATATCAACGATACACAGATGAGATTCAGAAAAGGATTACGTACAAGAGATAGCTCTTTGCCTTAAACGTCCTAACACAGAGATGGTCTAGATGTTAACCGAGGTAAATGCCTGCTTTTATAGACTTTGAAAAAGCCTTTGACAAAGTACGCCACAATAAACTCAAAGAAATCCTGGAGGGTAAGAACATCGACACCAGAGACATACAAATAATATTAAATCTATACTGGAATCAGCGAGCTAACATCAAAATCTTCTTCTTCTTTATGTGCCGTCTTCTACCGAAGGTTGGCGACCATCATACGATAGGTTTCTCTGTTTTGTGCCGCATGAATTATGTTCGCAGCTTCTGGTATTTGAAACCATTCTCTCAAGTTTCTCAGCCAGGATTTCTTCTTTCTGCCCAAGCCTCTTCTACCTTCAATCTTGCCTTCCACGATAAGCTGTAGCAGACTGTACTTATCATTACGGAACACATGGCCTAGGTGTGACGCTTTCCTCCTTTTAACAGTTGTTAACAATTCCACCTCTTTACCCATTCGTCTTAATACCTCTGTCTTGGTAACTCTGTCTGTCCAAGGTATTCTCAGTATGCGTCGATACAGCCACATTTCTAGAGCCGCTAACTTCTTTATAGTTGCTGCTGTTAACGTCCACCCTTCTACGCCGTAAATTAACGTAGAGAGTACGTAGCATTTCGTGGCGCGCCATCGGAGGTTAATGCTTAGGTTGCGGTTGCTTAAGAGCTTTCTCATTTTGATGAATTTGGATCTTGCTATTTCAATTCGGATCTTAATCTCTACTTCTGGGTCCCACTTGTCATTTACTGTATATCCCAGATATTTAAATCGGTGTACTCTTTCAATACGTTCGTCTTCAATATGCAGGTCGATATGTTGAAATTTTTTTTTACTGATCACCATAAATTTAGTTTTCTTTCTATTGATCTTCAGTCCAAATCGGCTGCCAGTTGTATTAACTCTATGTAGCATCATCTGTAAATATTCGATGTTATCGGCCAGTATAATAGTATCATCTGCATATCGAAAATTACTTATTGGTACGCCATTAATCTTGATGCCCTCATTGTACTCTTCTAGTGCCTCTAGAAATATTTGTTCCGTGTACAGGTTGAAAAGCAGTGGCGAAAGAATACAGCCCTGTCTTACCCCTCTAGAAATGGTTATGTTTTAACTTTATAATCTGGATGTCCTTAGTGTCAAGTCCTGAAAGACGTAATAGTTCTATGAGTTTGTCATGTTTGATAGTATCGAATGATTTCTCATAGTCGATAAAACAGACGTAAACATCTTTCTGTTGATCCAGGCATTTTTGAATCAAAACTTGTATTGCAAAGAGGGGTTCTCGAGTTCCAAAACCGCATCTAAAACCGAACTGTGTTTTACTTATGCTGTGTTCTAATTTTGCTCGTATTCTGGAATGGATAATACGCAAAAATACTTTAAGGGTGTGGCTCATTAAATTTATAAGGCGATATTCACTACACGTCTTAGAATTATATTTCTTGGGAAGGGGCACAAATTGTAGATTTCAACCAGTCCGATGGAATTTGACCAGTATCGTATATTCTTATTAAACAGTTCCAATACTACATTCAGGTTGTTCTCGTTTAAAAACTTTTAAGAATTCGACTGGTATTTCATCGCATCCTGTTGCTTTCCCATCTTTCGTTTGATCTATAGCTTTTATCACCTCACTTTTCAATATTTTTGGTCCATTCAGATCAGAGTGTTCGTAGATTGCCCAAGTCTGTAACTGTTCTTCTTTATCTACAATAAGTTTATTGTTCTCGTCTATTAACCTACCAAACTGTTTTTTCTTGTAAGTATAAGTAAACTCCTTGGTTTTTTTATGCATGTTAAAACTATCGTGTCTTCGTTCTAGCTCTTCTATCTCTTGACATTTTTCTTGCAACCATTTCTCTTTGGATTCTTTTATCTTTCTGCTGACAGTTCTATCCAGTTCTTTATATTGTTCGGGATTATTCTTATATATATAAATATATAAATATAAAATATAAAAATAGAAGACCAAAGATCGGACGTAATAGAAATACGTAGAGGAGTACGGCAGGGTTGTATATTGTCACCGCTGTAGATATTGCTGTATATTCCTAACTGTATTTAAAATAAACATTCAGGAGGAATAAAAGAACTGGCGCAGGTAGTGGTATAGAATGGGTATAGAAATGAATTAAGATACTTTGTACACCTTATAATTATAATGTATTTATAGGTAATCAAGTAGTTATAACCAACGAATAGGAAGATATCTTATTTATGATAAGGAAACTACTGGGACAATATTCAAAGTAAGGTTTAAAAATAAATTTTCAAAAAACTGAATATTTATGCATTGGGGAATCAGCACCTAACATAGAAATGGAAGACTGTGAAATCAGAATATATCAAGACCTACATGCCTGTTAAATACCTTAGGAAACGTCTGAGATTCTTGTAAAAACAAGGCTGGAGAAAGAGATGATGTTGAAAGATGGCGTATAAAAAGTAACATAGGCTGCCTAATGCATACGTCATTCTCTTAAACAGGACCTTTACCTACATCGGTAATTTTACATCATTCATATCCAAAATTCAAAAATAAAAAAACTTTTAAATCCCAACACTTGGATTGCTGTTATCATCTTTTTTAACATCACTAAAGCTTTTGAATCGATTGGCTACAGTAATATTATGTATAACTAACACTGTTCCATAGTGCATTGACATTTTGTTTTCGACACCGTTCAGAGGTATCTTGTCAATCAGTTACCAGCTGAAGTCCGTTTGAAGAGGTCTACCCTCCGGACGCTGGTACTCACGTGAGTCATGGTTATATGTTGCCTGAAGTAAAATCCAATAAAATATTAAACATCATTCATTTTTAACAACAATATGCACATTTTTTGGTAACTTTAATTACTGTAAAGGGTTTTGCCCTAATATTTTTGTGGCTCAGGCATGTTAACCTTTAAGTATAACCATTTTGATTTTCTAACCTTAGTCAACATTTCAATCACGTTTGCTTTAATTAAATGGTTCATACATATTTTAGGCTTTTAACCTGATGATGGAATTATTATTCCGAAAACGTTTGTTATTTTGTTGTAGCCCTTAAGAGTTTTTTAAATATACCTACTTACAAGATCTTTAAACCTCTTTTTTAGAAATAAACCATAATTTTAATTAAAAATACTTTATATATGACGCTATAAATAATATAAAATTATTAATATATAATAAATTTACTATTAGATATAAATTAAATTTTTTTCAGAAATGGATATACAAAAGCCGAAGGTGATGCACTGTGTTCGCAGATTCACTTTAGACCTTCGGAAAAGTACGTGCCACTCATGCCTCTGCCTTAAAACAAACATACAAAACGACACAAGGCATTCCATACCAAAAGCAATACCAGAGGTAAATCTAAAACGGTCTCGCACACGAATAGACGGCATTAATTTTCCATAACAATATCAATAGTTTAATTTTCAGTAAAATGGAAACCTAACACAAACATAAAAGGTACAATTTATGAAATTGTTAGATATAACAATCATTCCACAATTAATTGAAACAATCGTTTAAGCAAAACCCTAAGATTTTATTTATTGTTCACTTTGTTTACTACTTATTATTAATATTATTTGCTTTCTCGGAATCTTTACCTTAAATCTGCATATATTTTTCCTCATTCCAGAGTTTTACCTCATTTCTTGTTAAGTCATCAAATTCAAGCATTTCTTCTTTGGATGGTCTGAACATTTTTTTCTTTTCATAAAGGAGTCTTTGTTTTATTATTTAT